GGAGGGATGGAAGGCTTGGTTGGCCCGGGCGACTCACGACCCAGGATTTGATCCCCGGACCGTCCGCGTGGTAAGCGTGCCACTTGCCACTACACCACTTCCGCCCTTTTGGTTAGCTTAGGTGAGATCAATCCGGCTTTCACTCACAGACAACGCGCGTGGGTAACGGCGCTGCGACACTTGCCACTGCTCTATCGGCGTATTCACTTTCTTTACAAACTATGGCGTATACATAGCTTGCATTTATACCAATTCCACTCCAAAGTGGACACTATTCAAATAACTCAGGACATTTTTCATTTCGACCCGGCTTTTTTCAACGACCTGTGGACATTTTTCATTTCGACCCGGCTTTTTTTCAATTGTTTAGGACACTTTTCAAAGCATCGTGAGGATTTTCCAAGTCAAACTGGACACGTCTTCGAAAAAGTCGAAGTATATTTTTCGATAATATTTAATTAAAAATTGGCGGATGTGCTAGTATCTTCAAATCCTGAAACAAAAATTGAAAATCCATGTAATGAAAGGCCAATTAGTTTTGTGTGAGTTGTGTTAGCAGGCCTTTTTCTCCAGCAAACCTTCTCAAGGAGATCATCTTCCCGACTCTTTCACTACCTTTGCTATACGACTTCTTGTACTTTCCGCCATGTTTTCTGTCTCCAATCACTACGCATACACTGGCAAACGAAAACGCCAAACGTGGTCAGGAGGTAGGCGTGCGAAGTCAATGGACACAGACCAGCTCTCTCGGTGAGAGAAAGCGGAAAAGAGCAGAAACTCGATTGACTGGAGTAAGCGGTCCTTTTAAATATGATTTTCTTGTATCGCTTCCGCTCCGTGTCTGTGACAAGAAGGAGAGAAAGAAAGAAGAAGAAAGAAAGTGTAGAAAGTGTAAGGCGTAAAGTATAGATGACGGAGCAGAATTGTGTGAGCTACGTCATCATTGTGATGGTAAATTTAACACATTCACGCCGATGGCCGCCCATATGGGCTGCCAACAACATGCGCTCCTGGGACGATGGCAGCCCATATGGGCTGCCAACTGATAATCGCTTGCCAGGCGCTAGGAATGGACAGATAGGTGGGCAAACCTCGTAATCGAGTGTAAAATGCTTTTAAATTCCTTCACGGGGAAAGTGAATAAATGCTCTCTTTTCGTAACCACTATTTGTCGTTCTGATCGAAATCCTACTGTTATATGTTTAGATAATCTTTACGCATTGGACATTGCAGAAATTATTTTGTGACATTCATGTTTTTGTTCATTTACAATCGCGTCCGTCCCACGCGACCGAAAAGTGGAAAAGGGGGTCGTCGTGAATGTGTTAACTACCTTGGCAACTAAACAACCCTTTGAGAACTGAACGGCTTGGTTTGCGTTCTTTGTGTTTGAAGTGTATCTCGAACTACTCGAAAATATACTATTTTGTTGGCTGAGAGGAATATTCTGTTTCTCGAGAACTATATTCTGATGATTGAGAAGGATTTACGTTCGGGAATGAAGGAGGCCATGCTTTATCTGTGGGGTGTCCAGCTTGATATGAAAAGGATCCATTTC